TTCAGAGTAAGCTGGCATTTTCTTTAGTGTCATGTGAGAACGATGTTCTATGTAAGAGGCTTTGTGTATTGATTTGCGGATTCTTGATTTGCTTTACAGAATTTGAACGGTTGGTGGTATCGATGTTTAGTTGTGAAAAATTTAAAACCAAACACAGAGTTTTTTGTAAAAATCGCAAATGTAAGAGTTTATACATGGGAGGCGTTCTATCCCTTGGATTGTGGACTGTGTGAGTTTGTCCCGGATTGGGCGGTTGTTCTTATGTGCCATGGAAAAAGGTTATTGTGGGTCCTTGAAAGGTTATTAGCCCAGTATGGTATGATCAAAATCGTCTTGGGGTTTGTTGATGGGTCTAAATGTAAATGTGTGCTCTACATCAGGCCGGGTGTGTGCATTCGGCATAACATTGCTTATGGAGGAGTCTTCGGGCATTGAATGTTATTTCAGCTGTAAGCTATTCCATGTAAATATCTATTGTGCCATATGTGTTGTAAGATGGCTTGATTATTCACACATATGTTGAGGTCCCGTGTAGCTTGTGGTATTGTATGAGCAATATGGCTCTCGAGATGCAAATAATTTATTGCACCTTAGTTGCGCTTGAGTTTTGTAGCATATGTCGCTATCCATATCCCCAGGGATTGCATTGGGCACTTGGTATGCTTGTGGTCGATATTAGGGCATTTCGTAGGTATAAGCATTATGGCTTAATGGGTGCTTCCATATTTATTGTTATGTGTGGATCGGGTGGCATACTGCCACGGGTATGTTATTTGGATCGGGTTGCACGCCGCAATGGTATTATATTTGGATCGATTTGCACGCCGCAACAATATTATGTGTGGATCGGGTTGCATGCCGCAAAAACGAGATGTAGAGTACGGTTCCCGATATCTATTCTTGTGCATTTTGTTTCTCATTCTCTGAGAAAGGCTCGTAACATCTTTTCGGTTGTTTCATTAGTTAAGTGGCTGGGTAGTTCTTTCCTAGAGTTCGTTTTTCCTTATATATACCATATTCAAGTTGTGGCTTGTTGGCGTATTGATGGCGTCATATGAGATCTTGGTCAGTGTTTGAGAGGGATTATTGCCTGAGCAGCTTGTACTGGGTGAGACTAGATTATTGGACTTGAAATTAGTGCAATCAGATTTATATAAGGTACATTAAAGAGAAAATACCTATATTCAGTTCAGAATAGGGTAATGGTTTTTGTCGGGAGGAGAGATTCCATGATTTATTGATTCGACAGGTGGTTATGAGTTTCTACACGTCTCTTTTATCGTGGCAGTATTGCGAGAATTGGAACAGAGCTTATATGTGTTATGAGATGTATTGTAGGCATCAGATTCGTGAAATTGCAGCTAATGTGGTTGGGGGATGTTATTATCGGCAGCCGTCTTATGTGGTACATGGTGTGATTTCAGCATAGATACATGATCGTGTCTTGTTATAGTGTGTGGTAATTGATACAGTGTTTGTATATTTGAATCAGGTGTTGTAGAGAAATTTGGATGTTGAAATTTGGTTCTAAGGCTTATTGACTAAACAAAAGGGAGAATCTTCTGTCTGGCTCGAGCTAACATGATCACCTGGGTTGTAGTGGCACGGGCAGGTGCACGAGCTGTTAAACAATGATTTTGGACAACTCCGGAGCAGTTCTTGGCACGTTCGAGGACGAACGCATGTTTAAGTGGCGGAGAATGTAACGACCAGATCGGTCGTTTTGAGCTCTAGCACGTCGTTCGTCGATTTGAGGTCTTGAGTAGCTTCACTTCAGGTATTATGACTTGTACTTGTGGTCGGAATTTAATTTTGGAAAGTTCGGAGTTTATTTGGAATAAAATTCTAAATTCGAAAGCTTTAAGTTGGAAGAGTTGACCAAGGGTTGACTTTTGAGTAAACGACCTCGAAATCGGTATTTGAAGATTCTAGTAGGTTCGTATGATAATTTCAGACTTGGGCGTATGTTCGGGTCGAGTATCGGGTGGCATGGGAGTATTTCGGTGCTTATTACGGAAGGTTGGCATTTTTTAAAGGTTTAAGGATTCCCTAAATTTGGGTTGAAGTGAATTTTGATGTTATCGATGTCCGTTTTGGATTCCGAGCTTGGGAATAGTTCCGTATGATGATTTTGGTCTCAGGAGCGTATTCGGACATTGATTTGGAAGTCCGTAGGTTGTTTCGGCGTCAATTTGCGAAAGTTAGAAATTAGATGATTTTTGGGAAGTTTGACCCGGAGTGGACTTTTGATATCGGGGTCAAATGTTGATTCTGGAAGTGGGAGTAGGTCCGTAATGTCAATTATGACTTGTGTGCAAATATTTGAGGTCAATCGGACTTGATTTGATAGATTTCGGCATCGAATGTAGAAGTTTGAAGTTCTAAAGTTCACTAAGCTTGAATTGGGGTGAGATTTATAGTTTTGATGTTGTTTGATGTGATTTGAGGCCTCGAGCAGGTTCGTGTCTTATATTGGGAATGGTTGGTATGATTGGACGGGGTTCCGAGGGCCTCTGGTGTGTTTTAGGGTAGTTTCTGACCAAGTTTGGCTGAGTTGCTGCTGCTGATGTATGGTGTCTGGTTTTGTTCTTTGCGAACGTGAAGGTGTTCATGCGTTCCCGAAGAAGGATCTGTTGGTTGCTGACATTTTGTGCTACACGTTCATGACTAAGGCGTCGCGTTTGCGTAAGGTAAGAAGGTGAAGCTACGCATTCGCGATTGGGGCATTACGTTCGCGAAATGGAAACTGGGCTGGTGAGAATTTTAGCCTTTGCGTTCGCGGAGGGTGAACCACGTTCACGAAGGTTCGCCTGGTAAAGCATCGCGTTCGCGAGCTGTGACTCGCATTTGCGAAAGGCAGCTTTTGAGCTGGAGCTGGTATTGCTTCGCGAACACGAGGGACTTGCCGCGTTCGCGAAGAAGGTCGCCTGGGCAGTGTATAAGTTAGCAAATACGGGTTTTGGCTCATTTTATCTCAAATCTTCCATGGAAGCCGAGCATGAGGCGATTTTGGAGGAGCTTCTTCGTCACCCATCACTAGGTAAGTGATTCCTTCACGTTGTGAGATAAATACATGGTTTATGTATGGATTTAAATATGGGAATTGATAGAAATTTTAGATTTTGAAGAAAAACCTAGAAATTAGTATTTTTAGATTTTGACCACGAAATTAGACATGGAACTAGGAATAAATCATATATTTGAGTTTGTCATGGTATGTGTAAAGGTTATCTTCGAAAAATTTCGGAACCCGGGCACGTGGCCCGAGGGTTGATTTTATCGACTTTTCGAGCAGAGTTAAGAATTGTTTAAATTTATTAATTATGAGTATTATGGTGTGTTTTTATTGGTTTGCACATTGTTTAACTAGTTTCGAGATGTTTTATTTTGAGTTGAGGTGTTAGAGAGGTGTTGGAGTCGGTTATGGAACTTCGGAGCGAGGTAAATCTCCTGTCTAACCTTGTGAGGGAGAAACTACCCCTAGGTGATATTTATTGTTATGTGCAACTAGTTGTGGGTGCTACATAGCACGAGGTGACGAGAGTCCGTACGTAGCTAAAGCATGTTTATGTCCGGGTAGACTTAGGATCTTATCATGGTAATATTTGAATTATTTAAATTCATTTTGGTGGCTTAATTAATTGAAGTTATAATTGAAATTAATTAATTGAAGTTATAATTGAAATCGATTTAGAAATAAATATATGTACACTAGGCCAAGCCTTAACACTTTGAGTATTGGGCGAGTTATTCCAGGAATGGTAGAGATTATATTCATATTAAGCTCATGTGTTGTATTGTAAACACAGGTACGATCATAGCTTCATTCATTCGTTGAACCTTGGGGATTACCATTAGCATTGAGGTCAATCACTCGCGTCTCGTAATTCGGTAACTTTCTTCCTTTCTTTTCTTGTGGAGCGGGCCGAATGCCTCGGTAGTATATAGATGTATCTATGGATCGTGCCGCACATCCCTCGGCAGTGTACACGTTATTTTGGATCGGGCCGAACGACCTCGACAGTATCGTGCGTATATCACTAGTAGTCCGAATATTCACGAGCTAATCTTTCCACTGATGCCCAACTCTTTATATGGTATTCCTTGTTTACTGGTTATGACACTTGACATTTATGAGCTGTTAATGTAGAATGCGAGATTTAGAAATTTTTGCTTTAAAAGAAATAATTGAAAAATTATGAAATTTCAGATTTACTCCACTATTGCTGTGCACTTCATATCTGTTATGAACTATCATGTTATTTATTTTGAACCTCTAGTAAGTGTCGATGGAGACCCCTCGTCAGTACTTCTCCGGTATTAGGCTAGATACTTATTGGGTACGCGTTGATTTACGTGCTTATGCTGCACTTCTGCACTAAATGTGCAGGATTTGACACGTTCATTTGGTGATCATTTTGGCGCGTAGGCACATCTGTTGAGGAGATTTTACGTGAGCTGCAACCCAGGCCACGCATCGCAGTCCACTAAGTCTCCATCGTACTATTTATTTTATCCTATCTTATTTACATTATATTTTTATGTCGGAATGGTTTATTATTATTATACTCCTTAGAAATTTGCTCATGCACTCGTGACACCGAGTTTTGGGGATTTCCTTCGAGTTATTCATTGTTGTGGTTCGTGTAAATATTTTTATTTACTTTGTAAATTTTATTTTATACTGTTCAACTAAGGAAAATTACGATTTCAGAAATACTAAAATGAGTAACTAAATTGGTAAATCACTGTTGGCTTGCCTGACGGCGGCGTTAGGCGCTATCACGACTTCTAGTTGATTTTGGATCGTGATACCAAGAGCCTTCGTGCTTTTAATATAATATAGATAGATAGATAGATATAGATTATAAGTTGGTATGTAGGTTAAAACGAGAATAGACAAGACGTAACTGGAATTTGAAGCTAAATAAGGAAAATGGTATCAACTGAATTATAAAATGTGAAACAAAATGAAATATCTAAATAGATTATACTATAGCTGCTTATACGGAGAAGTATACATAAACAAAATATTAATAAATAAGTACATACATCGGAGGAATACATTGAAAGTAATACACAATTATCATCCCAACTCCTCAACTCTAACAAAACAAAATGACTCGACTGATAAATAAACCCAGCCACATAATGATCGGGAGACGTTTTACTCTTTACCACCCTCAGTCTAATCTCTAAAGCTTCACAATGGATGTGGAAATACGTTATTATTCCACCATTATACCATTTTTCAATGCCCAAAGCATCCTCTTAAGTCCATAAAACGTGAGTTGTGTCTATAAAAAATTATTGTACGTAGAAGAGTTATTGTTTATAGCTCCATCGAAAGTTGAAGTGATCATCCTATTTTCCTCAAAGACGAATCTTTTGCTCAAGGACTGAGTTTTTTCTGCCGAAGTTCTTGGGATTCACCACCGGAATGGACAAATTCACCAGTAGTACCATGTTCACTGCTTGTGAATTCTTGGCTCGACATTCCAGATTTCCTGAACTTTTTAAGGTCATATGAACCTCCGTCGTATTCGGAACTTTCACCAGAACCAAACATTGCGCTATGACTCTTTTTCATTCCCTCGTTCAAATCATCCAGAGAAACATCACCTTCCAAAGCACGTACAACCTACAAGATAATTAATTAAGTATTTATTAGCCACTCTCTTTTACCATTTGAAATTCAAATATCTCTGAATTGTGAAGGCTTCGGAAGGCTTTTGGTAGAACTGAAACCCTATTATTTGGTGGTACATGATACAGTTGTTACTATTAGGCTACATCTCCAATTTTGACAACATAATTTAGTATTTGATAAAGAATGTATACACCGCTGAACTTAACAAAATATCAACAAGAATGGGGAAGATGGAAATGCCGTGGATGATGCACACAAGATGTACTAAAGTGACTTTTCGAAGTTCATTGTAAAAGGGAGTCCCCTCATTCATTTGTCAAGGGGAGTCCCTTGACTCACCATCACTATATTTTTCATCTAATCTTTTGTAAGGAATTGAAAGTGTTCAATCCTTTCATAGACTATGAAGTAGTAAGTCACTATGTCCTTCGTCTTCATGTATTTTACTTTGGAATGCTAATATATATATATGTGTGTGTGTGTGTCGGGGGTTATGCCTAAACCCGCATAATGAGGCTTTATTGAACAAAAACAAAAAGCTAACCTGACTCATTTTTGGACGTCTTCTTGCAGAATGTCTGATGGATGCAGCAGCACAAGCCACCATACATAGCATCTCTTGGGCATCAAAATTTCCCTCCAAACGTGGATCTATCAATTCATCATAGTTTCCACCCTCTGTTGCACGAACGAGAATTGGCCTAGCCTGGATATATGTATATATATGTATTTAATAATGTAACTTTAAATAATTAATTTGATCAAATTAAGTGCATATGTGTTTTCATCCATAGGTCATGTCCTCTAATCATAAATATGTGAATCCAAAAAAAAGTTGTTTCAATTATATCATTAATGAAAACATACCCAATCAACTAAGGTATCATCATCACTGTTGATGTCGATAGGACGACGCCCAGTTATAAGTTCCAAAAGCATAACACCATAAGAATAAACGTCAGACTTTTCAGTTAGCTTGCCACTTGAAGCGTATTCTGGTGCCAAATACCTGTTTGTTCAAATTTCATAAATACAGGTCAATGGTTATTCCAACCTATTGTAATATGGTGGATATTTGAACAATTATAGAACATTTTAAAACAACGAAAACATTAATAGTAGAACTGAAAAACGGATTACTCACCCAAAGGTACCCATGATACGCGTTGACACATGTGTATTAGTGTCTGAGGAAAGCTTAGCTAAACCAAAATCAGCCACCTGAAAACGACATTGGAACAGAGGTAGTAGTTTAAACTTTTGTTAGAATTAAGTGAATTAGAAATTTGCCTAATGGAAGGTCTCCTAAAACACATAAGCAAATACCTTAGCTTCACAGTTATGGTCCAGTAGGATATTCGCAGCTTTAATGTCTCTATGAATGATGCGAGGGTGGCCTGTACGTAATTTATATGAAAAAGTACTTTATGATGAAAAGTGAATGTACCTCCACTAAATACTAAAGCACAAAATTATGAAAAATTGAACTTACAATCTTCATGAAGGTAGGCAAAACCTTTGGCAGATCCAAGTGCAATTTTAAGCCTCGTAGGGAAGTCCATAACTGGGCGACCAGGTCCTATAGGATGCAAAGAGATAAGGAAAAATGTCAAATAAAGACTTTCAAGTTCAGAAAAGTATGGTAAATAAAACAGATTTAATTTATGGGTAATATATTCTTTAAGTTGGTTATATACAAATTAAAGCATACGTACCATGAAGGTGATATTCAAGAGTGCCATTAGGAACAAACTCATACACCAACAACCTTTGAGATCCAGCAATGCAATATCCAACTAAAGATACAAGATGGCGATGATGGACACGACTAATGATCTCAACCTCAGCTTGAAATTCTCGTTCACCTTGCCCACTATTTGCTTTCAGACTTTTAACTGCTATCTCCTTACCATTAGGCAACACCCCTTTATGTACAAATCCAAAACCACCTTGTCCCAAAAGATTGGCCTTAGCAAATCCTCCAGTTGCTGCTGACAAATCGTCATACGTGAAACTGCTTTGGTTAAAACCAAGAGCCATTGATGGATGTGGAGGTGGCAATGGAGGTTGATGTGGACCAGAGAAAGCAGCAGAACTCATTTCACTGCTGCTCATCATTGGAGGTGGTGGTGGAGGTGCTATTGGCCAACTGAGTTCTGAACTTACATTAGTACTGACAGGTTGAGGAGTAGGCATCTTTACCATATGTTCAGTAGATTGAACTTTGTTGTTGTGCCAATTCCCATACTGTCCACTATTATAGTAGTCAGTACCTGGATATTGCATGAAATTATTGTCAAATACCAAGACATGATAACAAGGAAGTAAGTTCAACTTCTGCTTATTATGTTTTTCATTGTTTAGGCACTCACTATAGCCTGTTATTTCAACATCTTATTATGATAACAAATTTAAATTAACGAGCTCAAATCTCAAGCTCATATGATGATTTCAGGGTGAAAAAGAAATTATAAATATGAAATAGCAATCGCACAAATCTCGTCCTCTTTATAGCTAGTCCATTGGAAATTAATTCTCTTAGTATGTTGCTAAATGCGAAAACATAGTATCCACAACATATATATATATGTTACCTATATTTATATAGGTAAGAGAATAAATAAAAAGCAATTCACATACTCTTGCCTCCATGAGAATTGTCCCTGTAGTAGCCCATTTGGTCGCGTGGCCTTCTCCTTTTGCGTTTGCAACAAGATATGAGGAAGACTAGCATGACAAGAAGTAATAGTCCTGCTCCTGCAGCAACTCCTACAATGATGGCTGTCCCGTTATCGTTAGATTTGCCATTATGATCTACGTCCGACTTGCTCGGTGGCGACTTATGCTTCGGAGGGGAAAGAGCTCCAGAGTTGGGAGAAAAGGGAGATGGTGGTGGTGGTGGTGGAGGAGGTGGTGGGGGTGGAGGAGGCGGCGAACCTCCATTTGAATTTGAGGATTTTGATGGAGGTGAAGATTTATTGTCATTATTATTGTTATTGTTGCTATGACCATTATTGTTATTGTTGTTGTTGTTGCCGTTGTTGTTGCTACCATTATTGTTGTCGTTGTTCTTGTTACCGTTGTTGTTGTCGTTGTTGCTATCACCATTGTTGTTGTTGCTGTTACCTTTGTTGTTGCTATTGTTGTTATTGTTGCCGTTGCTATTGTCATTACTATTGTTGTTCCCGTTGCTATTGTCATTGTTGTTGTTATTATTGTCGTTTCTATTGTCATTGTTTTTGTTATTGTTGCCATTGTTATTATCTCCGGAAGAAGATGAGTTATTATTATCCCCAGACGGTGGAGAAGGTGATGAATTATTTTGAGAAGGGGGAGATTGGGAATTTGAATCATTCGATGAAGATGAATCATCTTGGGATGGCGGAGAATTTGATGATGAGTCAGACGATGGGGAATTTGAAGAGGATGAAGGTGAAGGAGGTGAACCAGACGAGGATGATGGTGGTGAATTTGATGAAGAATCCGAAGAGGATGAATCTGAAGGTGGTGAATTGGATGATTGATCATCCTTAGATGATGAAGAAGACATTGTGATAAAGTCTTAATCACAATCTATGCCAAAACACGTCGTTTAAACCCTGCCGTTCTCCCAAAACAATGAGCCCTGTTCATTAAAGATAAAAAACAAGTAATTTTAACACAAAAAAGTGCATTTATCATTTAAGAAATCACGTGAAACATGCAACTCATAATTCTCAATATATAAACCTATGAATGAATGAAATATCAATCTTTTTTTCTTTCTTAACAATGAATATGATTTGTTATGAACAGGTATTATTGTAAAGAGTATGGAAGATGTTTATGTCTTGCAAAGACAAAAAAGAAAGAGAAAGAGAAAGAGAAAGAAAACAGAGAAAAAGTAGAAAGAAAAAAGATGACACCTTTAGGAGAATGGCAGGGAGAGGATTCTCAAAGCAAAGAGAAAAGATGTTGCATGATAATAGTTTTTACAAGTAAACTAAGAGCCGTCTTTCTGTCCTCATACTCTTCCTAAATTAAGGGACTAATCATGACTTTATTTTTAGTTAATAATAGGAGTATTGCTTTTAAATGGAAAATGTTGAACTTATAAACAAGGAAAATGCCAAATATATCCATCTGCTTTCGAGTATTGTCTACATTTAACCTCTGTTATACTATCCGGCCAAATTTACCCCTACCGTTATACTATCCGGCCAAATTTACCCCTACCATAAGCAAACTTTTAAAAATTACCTGTCAATCCGTCAGGTGACCCAGAATCTCCCAAATCATTTTATTAAAGTCGCTTATTCTTTTTCTGGATCCACTATTTACGAAATAATTGACATTTACACGTTTTTTTAATTGAAAAAAAATATGAGAAACAAAAAATATAAAAATAATACAACAGTTAGTAAACAAAGTATAGTAAATTGAAGAATCTATATTAGGTAGCTTGTCTAAATTCCAAAAGTATTTACAACATCCCAACTTTAATGAATTTGTTGCACCAAAGATAGGAAAATTTTACAAGTATTAGTGATAAAAGTTGAAGTTCCTTGGAGACTTTACATTATCAAATTCAACTTTGCTTTAATCAAATGCCTGTGCATTGTGCACTCTTATGTTAGTCGATCGAATATAACTAGACAATAACAAAATATATTCGAATATACACGATGATCATCTGCATATAATACACAATAAATAGGCCCATTGAATTCTACGGTGTGTATATTGTTGAAAAATAAATAAAATTTTAAACCAATTCCAAACTTATTATCACAAGAAGAGAAGTGAGGCATTGGTAATTAAAAATATCCATGAATAATATGTGTAGTCTAGTACCTTTAGCATTCACATAAATAGTAATTTCTGAAAATAATGGATCAAGAAGAAGAATAAGTGACTTAATTAAAATGATTTGGGAGATTCTGGGTCACTTAACGGATTGAGGGGTAATTTTTAAAAGTTAGCTGATGGTAGGGATAAATTTGGTCGGATAGTATAATGGTAGGATTAAATTTGGCTGGATAGTATAACGAAGGTTAAATATAGACAGTATCCGAAAGTAGAAGGATATATTTGGCCTTTTTCCCTATAAACAATTGGTTAAGAGGTTGTAATATCGCCTAGACACTTTTATTGGTCATCAAAAGAAGAAGACTAGCATAATTCATCTCTAAAAAATAATTTTATTTATTTATTTTGAGGCATGAGAATCAACGATGATACTATAAGTTCAAAGCCCAACATATGTTACTCTTTTCCACCTCTAGCGGCCCCTTTTTCACGTAAAATATTAACCAGACAAAAAGAATTTCTGAACTTGCTACAATTTAGTCTCAAAATCATGAGTACTAGAACTTTTTCAATCAACAATCTACTTTATTTTTATTTTAATTTATCTCCATTTTATTCTTAAGGTGATAGGTTTAGCCAATTATTGATAACGAGACACATGCAAACGTATATTGTGTATGTCGCGAGTTAGGACAATAATTAAACTATGTTTGTTTGAAGAAGAGGGAGTAGAATAGAAAATGAAATAAGGGAGCGTACTAAAGAGCTACTTTTCTCTTGTGAAGTAAATGAAGAAAGAGAGGAGACAAAGTAGAGAGATATGCAACTCCATAACAAAAAATCAGCTTCGTGAAATCTAGCAGAAGGATGAATTGTTGCATTTTACTTTGCTTTGTGATACCAAATGGTAATATGAGGCGGTAAATAATATCGGCTTGAAAACAAGGACTATTTGTGATATCTAAGGTTATTTTAGTCCTTAAAGACTGGCCATTAAGTTGAAGGGCCTCTAAATAATTTAAATACAACTCTGTTGAGATATGATGGGATAATATATAATTACTCTTTGTAGATGTTCCACTTTACCAGTTGTATACTTTGCAAGGGTCATATAACTCCTTTAACTTTATTTGAGTTGTAATAAATATCATATTTTTAGGGCAACCCCAATTTCAACTTAAATCGTGTATGACACGCGAATCATATTTTCGAAACATGTTTTTCTTTTTCTACACCATATAATTTCCTTTTGGTTATTTATTTATTTATTTATTTATTTATTTTAACTTATTTTCGTTTCTTTTTCCCTATTCCTTTTCTCCTTCTCCCCAAACACGCTCCTTCTCAAGTCTCATTCTCCGGTTTGTCCCTTCACCCAATTAATTCATTCTTCTTCTTAGTTTTTCAATTTCAAATTTCTCCCATTTCTTTCTGATTCTTTTTGTTTTCGTTCCATCCCTCCCCCATTTATTTTCGTCCCGAGAAGATTTCTAAATGGTAAAATGGGGTTAGCTGAAGATTGCCTCGCCATAATCACCATTTTTTCCGTGTGAGAAATATTATAAGAAAATAAAAATATGAAAAGAAAGAAGAAAAAGAAAAAGAAAAAAGAAAAGAAAAGAGGAATAAAAAGGTAAAGTAGAAAGAAAAAAAGCATAATTGTAAAGGAACATTTTGCTTCAGTGTCACGATCCAAAATACCACCAACGGCCGTAATGGCACCTAACCTCCAAGGGTAGGTAAGCCAATCACACTAACATCATTCAATCAACAAGACAAGATATAATATGTCTGAATTATCACAAATAGTAGAATAAGTGATCAACATAAGCCAAAACGGTAATACATAATACTAACTCCCAAAACCAAATAGTACAGAGTCATGAGCTCTAAACCGAATACATAAAAATATCTCAAAAAGAAAAATATTGTGCGAATTTAAAGGCAACAATATCAAAGTAAATGAAGGGGACTCCAAGGGTCTGCACCGTCTATGCAGCACTACCTTACATCCTCTCGATCAACAAATGAACTTATTCCCTAGGTCTGCTGCTGCCCAACATCCGAATTTGCACAGAAATATGCAGAAGTGTAGTATGCTTCCAAGATAACATGTACTCAATAAGTATCAAGACTAACCTCGGTGAAGTAGTGATGAGGTTCAAGTCATGTGATACTCACAAATCAAAGAATCTGTGCAATATACATAATAACTTGCAACAAGAATATAACCGGATGCAATATCATCAACTCAACAAAACAAGAGTTATCAACTCAACATAGGTAAATCAGTCTTGACAATCAAATCATCAGTTAATAATAGTGGCATATTGTAATGACCCGGCCGGTCATTTTAACTATTATAACCCAATTTTCCCATTTACTACTCAATTTATGCCTTGCTATTGATTTATGACTTATCGGGTTAGTTAGTTCGGGTCCGGAAGGAATTTGGAGTGAAATGAGACACTTAGTCTCATAATTGAAAAAAATTAAGTTAGAAAAGTGGATCGGATATGGACCTATATGTAAACGACCTCAGATTCGAATTCTGATAATTCCAATAGCTCCGTATGATGATTTCGGACTTAAGAACGTGTCCGGAAGAATTTTTGAAGGTCCGTAGAAGAATTAGACTTGAAATATCGAAAGTTAAATTTTTGGGAAGTTTGACCGAGAGGTTGACTATTTGATATCGGGGTCGAAATCCGNTTTTATTTTTGAGAAGTTTGACCGGGGGGTTGACTTTTTGATATCGGGGTCGGAATCTGATTCTAAAAATTGGAATACCTCTGTTATGTCATTTAGGACTTGTGTGCAAAATTTGAGGTCAATCGGACGTGATTTGATATGTTTCGGCGTTATTTGTAGAAATTAGAAATTTCAAAGTTCAATAGGCTTGAATTGGGGCATAATTCATAGTTTTAGCGTTGTTTGAGGTGATTTGAGGATTCGACTAAGTTCGTATGATATTTTAGGACTTGTTGGTATATTTGGTTGAGGTCCCGAGAGGCTCGGGTGAGTTTCAGATAGNGAGCCTAGGGTCGAGGGTCACGGTCGAAGGCAGGGTCGAAGACATGATCGAAGGCCAGGATCAAGGGCCATGATCGAGGATCAGGATCAAAGCCACGATCGAGGCCTAGGATCGAGGGCCAGGATCGATGCCTAGGATCGAGGCCCAGGATCGAGGCCTAGGATCGAGGACCTCAATTGAAGGCCAAGATTGAGGCAGAACCGAGGTTGTCTGGGCATAATTATAAAAATAGGGACTTCGTCCCATTCGCCATTTTTGACAAATTGGAGCTTGAGGAGAGGCGATTTTTGATATATTTTCAAGGAAAACTTGAAGTTAGTCCCTTATGATCATTTCTACTCAATAATATTGAATTATCATCGAATAATCCGACTAGATTACATGATTTTGAGGTGTAAATCGGAGATTGGAACTTAGAAATTTGGAAATAAGATTTGTAGATTTGAGGGTCGAGTTGAGGCCGGATTTTGGTAAAATTGGTATGGGTAGACTCGTGGTTGAATGGGCTTTCGGATTTTATAACTTTTGTCGAGTTTCGAGAGCAATTTTTGAGCTAAATTTTGGATTTTTATGAAAAATTAGTATTTTCTTATGGAATTAATTTCAATAAATTTTATTGACTGAAACGAATTATTTGTGACTAGATTCGAGGCATTCAGAGGCCGATTTGCAAGGCAAAGGCATAGCAGAGTAAAGAGTTTCACGTTTTGATGTAAGTAACAGTTTTAAATCTGGTCCTGAGGGTATTAAACCCTGGATTTTGGTATCATGTGATTATTTTGGAGGTGACACACATGCTAGGTGATGGGCTTGTGGGCGTGCACCGAGGGGATTGCGACTTGGTCCATCCCGGGAAATTGTAAAGTTGAATAATTTGTTGTTAGCTATATGCTCTCTTTGTGTTGATAAAATTTGACTGTAAATCATGTTAGAAATCATGCTTAGACTATGTGATAGTACTGTTGGGACCCACAGAGGTCGCGTACTTGTTGAATTGCCTGCTAAATGCTATATGTACTCAGCCTCAGTTTTTACTTGCACATTTTATCTCAGTCTCTGTTATTATTATTGATACATAATATCATTGTTGTTTGGGCTGATTTCATGATTATGAGATATTGATATTATAGCACGTGAGTTGTCTGTGCAGCACGTGAGTTGGCCGTGCAGCACGTG